TCAGGCAACAAATAGCGACTCGGTCAGCCCAGTGCCACTTGAGAATGCATGTACTACAATGGCAAAACACAATACTATACTGAGTAAACTGATGAGTTGCAGAGCTAGCATGTCTTACCTGCTGTTTTTTCTTCTTAGGTCTCCTCTTCCTTCGAGGCTTTCGAGCATCAGAGTTGCAACTTATGTTATCACTGTTGCCAGTTTGTGGATCTGACAATCCTCGCTTTCTGTGCCCTATGCTATTTGACGTATTGCTAGATGTGGACATTTCGGGCTTTCTTAAAGTTGGTTTTGATTTCCTACTCGAAGACCCTCCAAATCTTCTGTCATTTGATGACCCAGAAAATGATTTCTTTGATGGCCTAGGTGGAGGCATCAAAGCACGAGCAGAAATCTGTCTCTGAATCAGTACGATAACAAAGATAGTTACCACCTTGACATTCCTAGCATCTAAAAGTAAAAGCAAAGCTCTATTAAAACCTGATTCCTTTCATCACTAGACATGCCAGATGCTGCTATCCCAGAGGCACTAGAAGCTTGTTCCCTGAAGAGCAATATTTTGACATTAAGAGGGTACCTAGGATAAGTCTGCTAATAATTCATCATTCCAAAGTGACCAATGTGTGGACAGCATATGAGCGTTGGGAGAGTGAGCGTGCAACAAAAAAATATTTGAGGGCTCATATAGAGGGTATGCAGAGCATTTCTATATTTTCATATATCTTCTGTCTATTTACACTCGTATGCTGAGGGGAAAAAATTTTCAGACTGAAACAAAGGGAATCTTACATTGAAGCCTAAAACAAGTTCCAAGTAGTAAGCAGTAGTGCAGTAACCATTTGTGCGGAATATAATGGTATATACAGTTACTCCTAAATTATCAGCACCTAGCTTGACAAAACTCCTGGAATCATATTGTACTTCTCAACTTCACACACATTACGCAGGCAAAAATATTTCATCCATGTGATAATAGTTCATCCAAAAATTTTGCAAACTTTTAAAAAAATTGGCATACTGTAGCAATTGGATATCAGATGCACATGGAGCATTATTCATGGCCGAATCAAGCAATTTAGCTTTCCAAGGTTTCATGTTAATTAATGATGCTTTAAACTGTTTCTATAGTAACAATCCCAAAACTTATGCAGCATCTAAAAGGAGGTTACAGTTGTAATTTTCTGTGCAGGGTCCACATTATGCTTATGATCAAAATGAAAAATTTTGAAACCACATCCACCATAGATATGTAAAGAGTACCTGTTACTTTTATCTGTCCATTCATCATCTGCATCAGCATCATCACTTGAGCTTCCAGACAAAAAGAAATCATCCTCACTTGGATCTAGAAGCCCATCGTCCTCACTACCTGTCTCTGTTTGACCATGTTCAAGTTAAGAAGATCAATTGCAGTTTCCCACCTCTTCCCCCCCCCCCCCCCCCCCCAAAAAAAAAAATATCAAAACCCAAAAAAAAAACCCCAATGCCACACACGCTTACAGAGAGAAAAAAAGGTGTAATACCTGAAAAATGGAGGGTTTTACAAGAATATGCATCTATCAGGATCAATATCTCAAATTGTATTCCACAAATCATAGAATTATATAACATCATTGAATTAGTGGTTAATAGGATAAATTCAACTACCATTCCATCTATTTATGAACTATTCCAGGAGATTACACACCACATAAAATTTAAATCCTCAATCCTTGGTAATACAACAAACTTCCCATGGGTACTGTTAGGTCCATATAAGACAGAACATGATATGGATCAGACTACTTTTCTCTAGTTTTCAATGATTTCCAAATTCAAAATTTCAAAGATTGAAGTTTTCAAGTTTCTTTCTACTTTTCCCCAAACAAGGGAGGAGAAAAGCCAAAACTTCACAAAGGAACATCATGAGCCAGTGGAATGAACTACAAATAGGAGTAGAAAAGACTACCTTCCAAATCCTTGCCACTTGCTGCCGCCGCAATTAGATTGTCCTTTATCACTTTACGTAGTCTATTTCTTTTTTCAACAATTTCCTCATCTTCCCCTCCCATAAACAGAGGTACATAATTCTCAGTCTTGGGAAAGAACTGCAGTTTAAATCAACACAAAAAATAGAGATCAAATTCCTTAATTAGGAAAAGAAAAGAGCTAAATCTTGACACTCAAAATTCTAATTCCAACTAATGCCCAGCCAGTCAGATTTTTCATCAACAAAGATTGGGTAATCCATGATTCTCACCCACCCAAGTGGTTGTTAGATTTAACAAATTAGTCATAAGCCACCATAAAAGCCAAAGATCCGATTGAAAAATTTACACATAGTAAACCTAATTCAGGCACATGATAGAAAATATCTTACTGCTCATTCAAAGCTCTGTCAACTACATACATTGATATAGAGAATCCATCCAACAAAAGACGAAAAAAATATTACGCCTTTTAATAGTTCTTCTTATATACCCTTTTGAGACATGGATATGGAATCACAAGTTTAAAAAAGAAGTTTGACAATAAGCTTAACGCAAAGAGATTACAAATGCATAATAAAGGTTGGTCATTATGCTTTGACCTTAAAAATCACATTGCTAATAATCTTGGAATCCATAGAAATTGCAAGCAATACCAACACTTACACGGACATATTCAAGATCTTCTTTCAATTTAGAAAGTTGCTTAGCAAGCTCCGCTTCCTGGGGTTGACCAGACAAACCGCGCTGCTGCTTTTCCAATCGCCTTACCCTCCTCTCGATCTTTCTTCTCTCTACGTGCGCATATTCGAGGTTCCAAAGTCAATCATCGAAGTTACAAAAGTTCATAAGACTTGAAAGAAGTATCAAGCTGAATAATGGAAGGCACTTTTTACCAAAAAACTTGATCTTCCTGTTGCGGAGGAATATTTTACGTTCCACAGCCAGACGATTGAGATTCTCTTGTTGTTTCTTGAGTCCATCCAACTTCTTTTCTTGGGCTTCTTTAACTTCTGGTGGGAGATCCTGAACATATCAGTGGAAATGATATCCTTCTCATCAAGCAGCAAGAACTATGTAGCATTAATCTACAAATCAAACCCCTAAATTGAAAAGAGGAGGCAGAAGCATGGCCAATGAAGAAAATGATGGAAAAGGCCCCAAATGATGCCAGAATAACATCTTCATGCGTAGTAGTTCTGTTATGCTACAAAATGATCTGTAAGGAATAATAGAGAAACCCCACCTAATTAAGCTACATATCCAAGATGTAGCTAATGCAGCATTCTACAAGTGCACTCTATGATCACCATGTCAGTAATGAACAGAAATTTTTGAAATTGTGGAAGGGAGACTCGAGGAAAAAATGCTACAGCATTGCCTAGGCTAATATACATTGAAGCCTTATATGCCCCCATGTGCACAACACAAGACCAATATGTGTCTTTGCAAAATGCAAGAAAAGAAAACAAATTCTCTAAAAAAACAACCAAGGGCCCAAGTATACAAAATGATGCTAGGGGATTTTATCAGTGCTATTAAGAATGTTAGATTTTCAGCAGTGCTAGCATCTCAAATGTCGAACAAACTTTACAATTTCCACAAATTAGCCACATTTACTTATCCTATCCTTTTGATGGAAAAAGGTAAACCGGCAGAAGTTTTATGCTACTACAAATTTGAAAACTCATACAACAGCTAAGTCTTTGGCAGTAGCTCCATATAGAGCAATAACCTAAGTCTACTTTTCCTCGCAATAACCTAAGTGTACTTTTCCTCACTATGGCAATGGTAGGAGTATATTAACCCCATCATTATTTTCTCTGCTTTTTTACCTTTTTCAAAACCACGAGTAAGCTAAAAAGCCAAAGTTCAAACTTCATTACATTTCTGCTGATCTCTATAATGAACACAAGCAGCAGAATAGTGAACTTCAATCAGAAAGGCACTTCTAAAGACCACAACTACACATTTCTTCAAGAATTTCATAAATAGAACAATAAGCCAAGCTGCCACACTATCAAGAATCCAATACCCCTTCTCTTCCTCCCTAAATAAACTTTTTTCTTTTCACATTTTCAAATAAAACCCACAAAAATGACAGCTAGAAAATCAGAAGGGAAAAAAAAGACGGTTTTATATTCCATCAGCAAGCAATTAACCAATAATTCATAACAATTGCCATACATGAGTCCGCGTTTCTTAGTGTATGTGAGAGAAGAGAGAAAGTGAGTACTTTGCGGAGCATGCGTTCAATGGAACGAACTTGGTTTTTGAGGGAGACGGATTTAGGTTTCGTTTTCTTATCGACGGCGAGGGACTTTGGTCGGCGGCGGCCGGCTTGTTGCTGCCGCTGGGCTACTCGGCGCTTGCCGTAGCCTCCGTGCGCCATTCCTCTTCTTTGCCGAAGCTAAAAAAATTACTATAGTGGTGGGAGATGAACTAGTAATAAGTAGTAATACTAATTACGGGAAATTGATTTTTTTTTTTGGCTTGCAAATTATATTTCCATTTCCAATTTTTTTAAAAAAATATTGATGGGTGGCCAAAAAAATTTTAAATTTATAAAGGAACATTCCTCAAAAATCATGTAGTAATAAAATTTTTAAAAATATTAGAAAGACAAGGTCTTATTAATCCACGAGTGATTTCACTTGATTTAGTTCATCTATGGCTTGTCGAATTTATATTTTCAATTAACTTACATTTCCATTAAAACTGAATCAAATGTAATAAGAATTAAGCGAAATAAATCAATGGTTTGCATTAACTTGTATATCCATCAAAACTGTACTAAATGTAATAAGAATTACACGAAGTGAATCAAAATAGACGGAACTCAACTTATGAAACCCGATCGAGTCAGGGTCTCGAAATAATGACAAAAGGAATCGCACTACAATATATATGTATATATCTTGCTAAAGTGTTACCCTTTTATTCTTTTCTTCTAGCATAAAATTATATTTAACGAATTTTAACCTTGCTAGTTGGTTGAATGAAAATAATAATCGGAACCTTACTGAACAACGTAATCAAATGATTTTATTAGTACATTGAAAACATAAACATACGCATGACAATCGAATACATAAAATTATTGTTCACGGCAAACCAAGAAGCAAAAAAGCTAGAAATTTGAAGTTTTGATCGAGAATATTATGCATAGGCTTCTGGATTTTGGAGGAGGAAGGCTTCCACAGCCTTGTACATGCCAGAAGCCTTCTCTTTTCCAGCCATGACCTCTTCTTCGTTGACCACGTAATCTCCTTTGGGATAGTACTTGCTAGTCATCTTGGAGATGGTACCACCATTCGCTGTTGGCTCAAACTTAACCTCGTAAGTTATTTTCTCAAGCTTGTCAGACAAAGCATCTCCTTCAATCAGAGTGTAGTTATATGTATACGTCTCTTCATTGAGCTCATCAATGTGATATTTCAAGAAACTCAGAGTTTTACCTGCATCCCAAAAGAGAAAAAAATTGAGAATAGAGAAGCTTTTTTTTCCCCCGTCTTTTTATGAAGAGGATCAGTAATGTACTCAAGTGCTTAATAAAAATTGAGAACAGAAAAGATATCTTGCATTAATGTAGTAAATCTTACCATCGCCAAGGTTGATTTGCTTGATGCTTCCAGCACCTCCATTGCCTCGGAGGATTTCAATGCTCTTGAAAGCTTGGGGCAAGAGCTTGGGGAACAAGTTGTGAGAGTCAAGAACTGAGGCCTTGAATAGCCTTGCAGGTGGAATGGTGTAAGTGTATTCATGACTGAAAGTGGTTGCAGCCATGATCTATCAGATTACTTAGCTTTACTAGTTCTGCTACTTGGGCAAATGTAAGAAGGTGGTTTCGAGCTGATGATGTTGTGGATCAAATGCATCTATTTATAGATAGTCACAAAAAGAGTTCTTCATGGCCAATGTGTATTCCTATAATTGTCCTCTTCTGAATGAACATAAGTCAGTCCAAGTATGATATCAAGTTATCAGATTTTCATACTCTCTCAAAATCCCCCGATATGAACCATATGAGTGTCTTCTTGTTGGTTTCTTATTGTGTTTGGGCTTATTGCTTCATATTGTAACCACAACAGACAGGATTTAGAAACTATGCTAGACGGTCAGTTGGCGACTGTGCTAATCTTGCCAAATGGCAGCATCTTCATTCTTCAATGGGCAAAATTGTGTAGAGAACAATTGTATAGGCTACAACTAATCTTTGATTAAACTAGCTGGTTTATGCAAAATTGTGAAAATAACAAGTAAAATATCAACATTTCTGTGCGCATTTGGTATGATTTAGCCTGTAAATCTGCTAAAACTAAAATGTTTGGAGTAATGGGCAATGTGCCACTTCTTAATAGTCCTATATACAAAAGACACCGTGCAGAGTATGGTACGTACAAAGAAACTGCATGCAATTTGAAAGAACAAAATCCTTTAGCTTTGCCCTATAAATACTATACTACTGTGTCCTTGAGTTCCACCAAAGCAAACAAACAGGTGATCGCTTTATACTGAATCAGGGTTTTTACATTCTTTAGAAAAAAACAGAATGGGTGTCATTACTTTCTCCGAGGAATACACTTACTCTATCCCTCCAGCAAGGCTGTTCAAGGCCTCGGTTCTTGACTCTCACTACCTGTTTCCCAAGCTCTTGCCACAAGCTTTCAAAAGCATTGAAATTCTCCAAGGCAATGGAGGAACTGGAAGGATCAAGCAAATCAACCTTGCAGAAGGCAAGAGCCAATTCTAGCTTATTCTGTTCTAATTTAACTTGTTCAAGATTTCACATTATATTTAGTTGCATGTGAGAGATCTTATCATAGAAATGACGGTATTACTCGTAGAAAACACAAGTTGATAGTCCTCAGGAACACGTTGCTTTTCAAATTTTACATATTAAAATGTGAGCATTCATACATTCTAATGATCTGCAGCAATTTTATGCAAGTCATCATTGTTGTGACATAAATATGTTGAATTCCCATTCAATCATCCCTCTAGTTCGTGTACGTTTTTTCACATCTTTAAGTTTCCTTTCCATGGACATGCATTGCAGGAAAGAATGTCAGTTATTTAAAGTATAAGATTGATGAGCTTAATGAGGAGACATACACCTACAATTACACATTGATTGAAGGTGATGCCTTGTCTGCAAATCTTGAGAAAATCAGTTACGAAGTGAAATTTGAAACATCACCCAGTGGCGGTACAGTTGCCAAGATGACAAACACGTAATGCACGGTGGGAGATTTTGCAATTAAAGAGGAGGAAGTTAAGGCTGGCAAAGAGAAGGCCTTAGGAATGTACAAGGCAGTGGAGGCCTACCTGGTCCAAAATCCTGATGTCTATGCTTAGCAGTACAAGTCCAGAAAACTTCAGAAAAATGGCACTAGGTTTCAAATTGTTCAGATTGTCCTGCTTATCTGAGTTATGTTGATCAGCTTAGGATTAAGAACTCCATCAACTAATAATGTCCCTTGCTCTCTTGAACATTCTGTCAAACTTAATTGTATGCATCTCTTGTACCACTATGTCATGTTTCCGGATTTATGTATTTGTCCCTCCTACTACATCAATAATATTTACTTTGTTTCTACTACGTTTGCTTGATAACTAAAATAAGCACTTTTTCTTCCACTTGCTTCCCATCAGCACCATATAATCATGCATTTACCATGGGACGGGTTGTGGGGAAGGGGGCGAAGGAGATTTAAGACAGGCAGAAGGTGAAACTGATGAGAATCCAAGATCGTACAAAAGGTGAGGAGTGCTCACCTTTGAGACTAGTTTGTTCCTCTGAGACTGGAAAGTAGCCAGAATGAACTTGCACTAGAACCATGTATATATAACACCAACAATAATGAATTAAAGACAAATATCAATTTAACAAGCCTTCCATGAGGCAGCCAATAAATAACAGTAACAATTACATGCAAATTGAGCCAGAGGCAGCCAATGGTTAAGGATGAGAATGTACCATGGCCAGCATTACAACTATCCTTAGAAAAAATATTGTCTTACGTGTAGCCTTTTTTGCATGGATCCTGACAAAAACTGTGTAACATTCAAAATTTGCAAGTAATGTTAGCAATGATGCCCCAGCTCATAGAATCAGAAAAAGGAGCAAGCGGAACTTTTTCAGTGATTTTCCCTTTTATGACAAAGCAATAGGTTGTTCTCCTTCCATTTCAGATATCACAATTAGATGATCAATCAATTGAAGAGATAACGGTTCTGACTTGGGAACTGGGTTGATAACCTGCAGTAAAGAATGTATTAGCATGAGCCTGAAAGTGTTTTTTTCCATTTGGACAAACAAATCAGACAGTATACCTTCTTGTTGTTTTTCATGTAGCCAATGGCAACTTCTCCCCGCAAGTTGGCTCTTTCAGCAAGCTCCGCAAATGAGGGGTTCTCCCCCCTTTGCATGTAGAGACTAATATCCTAAAAAATAAAAAGCATGTCAAGAAACTTAGTGTTCGATTCCGGGATATAGAATAAGAAAAACTAGTTTCATCACTCAGAAGCTCTCAATAGAGTCAAAGTCCTAGATTTAAGGGGTATGGTGACAACCACCACCAGCTGCTCTCTCAACGAGGTATTAGATTTGATTCTAGTTAGTGCAAGAACAACACCACCAAGCTCAATCTAGAATTGGCTATATCGACTACAAGACGAATGAATAATTTAGTGTTTTGTGCAGAATTATATGCTTTCTTACGACTTTATCATGGCTCATCCCTAAAACAACAACTTAGAGCAATTTCATAAATGTAAATGTTTCTATTGCCAAGAGTTACCTTGACGTATATTTCATCTCCCTCAGCATTCAGAATATCCTTCCAAACCTCATTCAATTCATTGTTTTCTGCCACTGCCATTTCCAAAGAATCTTATGACCATGAGTAGATATATTGTTGAGAAACATTCTCTTTTTTCTTCAAAGTCCAACTAAGTTAAGAACATTCTTTGAGCTACAGACAGAACTGATAACCTTGAGCTGTTACAAGGCTCATTACTTCTTCCGCTGCAATATAAGTGAGGGATGGCTTGATTCTTGTAATCTGTGAGCTCAGAAGATTCAGTTTCGCCAAACTATAAAGACAATTCTTTATGTTGACAATTTGCATATATTTTTGCTCTAACCAGCAACACAAGGAAAATACCTGTTTCCCCAATTTTGAGTCAACAATTTCTGCAACTAGGTTATGTACCTAATAGTTATGCAGCAATTAGACAATTGCAGTATCTGAAGCAGACGACATAGCTCAGTGCTATAATAGAACACAAAAAATTAAACATGATGAGAAATGATAAGAGGATGCTCTTCTTTTAATCCTTCACAAATAGTAAAACTGTGTGGAGGATATGCAATCTCATTTTATCCCTTAGGCAGCTCCCAATAAAATTTACCTGACCCTTCTCATTCTATTTTCTGAAAAGGGGCTGCTACTTAAATTAGTATAAGATGATTACTAAATGTATTTCAGCCCCGTTCTTGATGGATGACACACATCCACAGGCAAAGTTAGCTGTTCTCTGTTGACTCTAAGAAGAAAATAGGTGCGTGGGTTTCCCAACATTGCAAAGACACACAGAGAGAAGAACAGTGACATTAAAGTTCCATGTGGCTTATATAAAACAACTACTAGAGGTGCAGATACAAATAAAGCAATCTAGTAGCCATATTTGCAATCACCATCAAGACAAAGATATTGATTTAAGTTCCTAATGCACATTGAATGAACAAAAGAATACAAAGGCTAGTAGCATCACATGTATGGAACTATGTTATGTGTTGGTTGTTCACGAATCATTTCGAGTTGCATCTTTGTTTTTTCTGTATCATTGAGTACTCATAAAGTAGATATCTATACCATAGTAATTCTGACAAATTCAATCTCAACTGACAGCAAATTTTCCATAAGTTCCTGGAGATGAATAAATGGTTGTATAACCATGTTTTATAGGATTTCTATGCAAGAAAGATTTAGTCTCATAGAGGGCAACGATGTTTACGAGAAGAGCTACGTGAGAGAACTTACATTTACTCCAAACTTGTTGCAGATAGTTTCAGCAAGAAGGAGAGAATATGCAGAATGCTTGTCTGCCTTGGCTGGCTCTGAACCGAGAGGAAAAAGTTTTTGTAATACCATCTCAATCTTCAACCAAATGAATATCACAAGCCATTACCTCCAAGTAGCCACTCTCTATCTGATATTACAACAATGGAAAAGGGAATATCTTCATCTTTCTTAAAAGATTTCCAAATGTTTGTGATGGTATCCTTTAGAGTGTCATAGTCCATTGGGTTTCCAATCTGCCACATTAAAAATCTACATTTAATACCTTAAAAAAAAGGAACAGACAAGATCCAACTGAAGGCAAGAATTCAGTTTCCTCTAACTGGTACTCAAGACAAAAAGGTCTAAACATAAGACTGAGAGATACCCTGTGAGAGACTCGGACATGTTTTAGTTTCCCTTGGCCGGCAAGTTTGCTAGCCTTATTTCTGTCATCCATTGGCACATCTGACAAGACTTCCTACAGATAGGTAAACAAAGATGATAAATAAAAGCATAGAATTGAAAAACTTACCAAGTCTAAATTCAGAGGCATTGCATTAGTGCTTTCTGAAGTGATATTTAGTGACCTACCATGCCTTGTAACCAAGACAAGTTTCCAAGGAGATAAATGCCTAATGGGAAAACAATAGTTGCCATTCGGCTAAAAATTGATGAGTTGCTTATAACAACTGAGAAAAGGTCATTTAGCTGATGATAAGCAATAAAAGAGTAAGGGGACAAGTTAGCAGAAAATTTTGGAACAAATTTCTTTATCATACCATCCTGTATTGCTATAACATGGTATTATAACACATGAAATACTTGGACAAGATAACTGAAAAGAAGCAGGACATCTCATCAAACAGAAAAGGCAGTCATCATGCTGTTGCAAATGATTTTGGGGATTGAAAAATTTCTCAACAAAAGAATCTCATAATTCCACCTGAACTATTTCTCAATGCTGAAGTTTTTTATTATTTGTGTAACAGTTTGTATTTAGAACCTTCGATACTTCTTTAGAGAGCTACGTACTCTTTATTTTAAAATAATAGGTAAATTTTGGTAACTTAAACATCATATATTCCACATTTACACAGTGTCACTATAAAACCTAAAAATGAAGAGGAAAAATATTTCGCAGACACTACTGCAAAGGTTAACCCAGTCTGTTACAACAAAGAAGGCACTTTCCTAAATGTTGTGATTGAGAATCAACAGCTAACTGCAAATAGCATATATGACACCATCCTGCTAAAGAACAGCAACACATACCAATACACTTCCAGGGCCTAGATAGTTGTCATATTCTTTAATCATTTCCACTACATCAGGGCGCCATCCAAGCATTAATATGCATTCTTTGGGTCCTAGCGACCAGTCAGATGCCTGCAGGAATAAGTTTAAAGAATAATTCAGACAAAAAGACTCAACATGTGTAACATCACCAATATTTTTCTCGGGATGGAATACCTTTGACCCTGATTTTGATCGTTTTGCTATCTTCCCAAGCCTTGCTTTTGTAATCTCAAAGGCCTGACTAAGGGACCTACCATCCTTCTTATGAGTTTCAGGATCTGGGAGAGTGTTATCATCTTCATCAAGACCACTTGATATTGCAAGTCGAGGTTTTTTCTTCCCATGAATGGGTGAAATAAACAAAACCTGCAAATGTATAACATAGAATTTTGGAGGGCAAAGATGCTTATAAATTCGAACATCCCATCAAAAACTAACATAAAAATCAAGCTAATAAGTCAAACACCTCAAAACTTGCAAACAAACTCTGTTCCCTCTGCAGCTATGAAGTCAGGGTTTAATAATGTGTAGAGAAATAAATGATTACTGCATGATGAAAAAATTGATTTTCAGCACATGGGTACTACAGAGGCTAGGCAGCTGCTTTCTTACTGCACTGCTTGATAGATACTACAGAATATTTGTGTCACCTCAAGGATCACAATACAGTCAGCAGTTTGTGGTGATCAAGTCTCTATAAGTTTTGTGAAAGAAGGAAAAGTTGTAAGTGTAAATTATTGCAGTCAACATGACAAGGGCCAATACCACAACTTTTGGTCCTGTGATATGCCAGAGCCTGATTGTATTTAAGAAGTACAAATATTTATTCTTGACTGCTAAAAATACGTTACATGTAAATAATTGATGTCAACATTGTTTCATTATTATCCTTTGATAAGCCAAAGTTGGTTCTATTTCACAAGGCACAAGATCAACTTTTGAATTCAAATATGAAATGACCTTGTGGAAGATATGCCTTCTAATGCTTCTTTGAACAAGGATAATTTTATGATTGCAGAGAATGTATTGCAAAAAGAATTTATATTGTGTACAATCTTCACATACTTTATCATTTTGTAGTAGAACTTCATCATCGTTTGGGTGGAAATGTATCTTCCCATTTCGATAAAGACCACAGACAACAGCCTGAGGGACAATGATAAACAAATCAAGTAAATCCAAGAAGCCATAAGAAAAAAAAGGAAAAAAACTGCACAAAATCATTAGAAGGGTTGACCTCCTGGAATCCACATCTTAATTGCCTATACTTTAGTCCCACTAGATCTGGTAAACAGTGAAGGTTAAAAACATTTTCTGCAAAAGGTACACAAGCAATTAAAATTCAGCAAGACTCTGTTCATAATGTTGGGGGATGAAAATCATGAATATGGATGACAAAAATCGATGAAACACAGAATACATTGGACAAAATGTGATTGCAGCAGTTTAAGAAACAACTTTAAGTTGCCAAGAAAGTGAAAATTCTATCGTGCAATGGTCAGTCGATGACGAGCTTTGATGAAAAGAATTACAAAAAGACAATCAAACGGAAGCCATCCATGAAACATAAAGGGTGTTCAAACTTTTGCAACATGTATCAAGAGATATTCATCCATTATACAAAATATACAGTTGAAACAGATTCCCTTGCATCTAAAAAATAGTCATACCTCACAGGTGTAGAGTGGCAAGGGCAAGAGATTTATTATTTTGCACTCGAATCAATTGATAAGTAGCAGTACAAAATTATATGGGGACTCAAACTGATTTTGGGATACAACAAAAAGATATGGCACAGTAGCAGCATGCAGACTTTTAGGCTCCATCTATGACTACCAGTCTATAAGCCAAATGACAAAATTTCGATCACGCATAAATTACATGTCAACCACACCAGATGTGCTGGAAATATCATGCCTTGACAAAACACTCAAGGGAATTAACATTTAATGAGAAGTTGTACGGTACTTCGGTAATTAAGAAGGTGTCTGTATATCTTAATGAGTCCTTTCTGCCGAGAGCACTGAACAAATAATTTGGATGCAACATTTTCTACAGGCTCCACTTTCAATCCTGAGATTGATTTCAAAAGTTCACACGTGTTGGAACTTGAAACCTGCATTTCATTGAAGCAAAAGAATTAGCTCTAACACTTCAAATGATAAATCTTTGAAGGAACACATCAGAACTGACCCCCTAGCATCATACCTCAACTATTGTGGGAACAGAGGCCATTTCTTGAAGGGGTTGAAGTGCAAGTACAGAAAGAAATGCATCTGTATCAACTTCATATCTAGTAAAATGAAATGGAGACATCAATAAAGATATTTTTTTACCCAGGAAAAACTAAATGTGGTGACAAAATCTTAATTCTTGTTTAAGTCACATAATCCATGGTGGTACAGAGATAGATTAGTATGAAAAATAAGTACCAACAAATAGATAGTGACTAGTAACAGTTTGTCTGCGGACTAATGTCCACTATTTGGTTATTAAAGAGTTCCACCCATTTCAAAAGCCAAATACTAATTGCCTTTTGGTTAATATGTTAAAATGACCAAGCTTTGATGAATCTGAATTCAAACTCAGTTATCGTTGGCCTTACAGTCAAGTAAAGCAAGTAGCTGTATATTACTTCAGACAAAGTAATAGATAAATTTTAATTCATTTACAGATTAATCATTACAAATCAGAATGACTAGCTGCTAAATATCCAATCAAATGACAAACAAAATTACCAAAAAAAAAGGTTAGAGGGAAAAGGAGTTGTTTCAGTAATTATACTCATCTGATGGACATCACTTTTTACCTATCGCCCTTTGTTGGCAATATGATGATGGCCCGTGCTTTGTTGGCTGCAGCTCTTTCAAATGATTTTGTCAAACTTAGACTGCAACTGCACCATCAGAAGTTACCAGTTGTTAGAATTGTAAGTAGGCAATGGGTCTATAGGCTATTCCAAAACACTTGTGTATTTAAAGAGAATAACGTGCTAAATGATAAAACACTTCCATCTATCTATTCCTCCTCTTTTACACTTCAGATAAGCAAATTTTAGCTACCTATAAGCAAACTCCCTTCCTTTTCCATAGAAGTACAACACTTGAATAATGACAGCTCTGACGGCCATGAACAACCTTTCTCTGGGATGCCAAGATTGTCATATGCATGCAAGTTAGTCTAAAAAATAATTTGATAGATACCTCTTTGATAGGACATCTATGTGATTGAGATCTTTGGCAATGTTATCAGCTATTTTATCTATTTGCTTCCTTGGGAGATCAGATAAAAGAAGAATTCTCTGCCTCCTATACACATACACCAAAATGAATTATAATGCAGCACTACATCAAATATAGAGAAGACCATATAAAGGAGTATTACCTGGCATTTGCAGTACCTAAGCGAACAGCAAACTCATGGTATTTGTTTAGTTGCTTTAGTATAAAGGTGAGATGACTATTGATGCCGCATATAATTATATGATCAGTCTCTAAAACTTGCATTTGTGCCCCCTCTCTTAATGTTTGCATCTTACCCTGTCCAAAGGGTAGTCAGAAAGATGCCATTTGGAAATTAACTTTAGGAAACTTGAAATTGTTACAACAGCTTACCCTAAATTGCTCTGTCATTGTGCTTAATAAGCGAGAATAGAACAGTATGCCCCAAATAGCGAGAACAAAGCCGATGATACGTTCTATTCGTGTTCTTTGCTGCAGTAAAAGCAAAAATCATATTATGACAATAACCACTGATACCTCATGGCATAGTTACAGCCTCTCAAATCAAATGAACCAAAAGAATTCACACTTTAAGATGTGTTGATGATGAACAAAGGCATGCCCAGGCCTCCCAAAAGCATTCCTCAAGAGATTGTTTGCTGCCCCTGTATATCTCCACAAGACATGTCTGTATTAGCAAAAGAACATGGGAAATCAAAATTGGGAGAGGGAATGATTCTACTACCCTACATGAGGTACTCATTCAGCAAAAAATATATTGTCAAGAATATTCAAAACAAATTTCAGATGGTAGAGAATACAATGGCAAATAATAGACCAACTCAGAACCATATATTTAGGTTTTCCAACACAGCATCCTTAATACAAGAAGTTTAAAGTACTTGAAACCAGTCCAGGTAAAAAGATACCATTAACATAACTGGAACAACAAACAAATCGGATGAAAAATCGACTCAATCACAAACAAGAACCTGAAACTTATAGGATGGCAAATATCAGGGCCACTTTAACAAAGTAGGGTCCTCTAGCTAGAGTAATTCAAGCAAGCTCCAAATACAGCTTGAGTTTAATTCTTCTGGAACTGAGTCTAGTCTCATATTATCTTAATCATATTGACCTTTTCTGCAGTTCTTGAACTCTAATTAACTGATTGACTAAATCTGCAGAATTTTCTACAACTTATATTCAAGCCTGGGTAATTTTTAAGAAGATCTAGCATAAGATTGGACACGTCAAGATGGAAGGAATTTTATTGGACATGGTTTTCCTACAAAAAGTTGTGGGGAACTATAAATAATTCATAATTAGTGATAGATGAATAATACAGTTGTTTTCTACTAGAACACTTCAAAAGAAAAAAAAAATCAGAGCTCTTTAAACTCAATTTAGATAAACAATCAATTTTCAATGTTACTACATCCTCATCAAAAAGAAGTAAGTACAAGGATGCTTAGCACAGTTGATGGAATTGATTTGAACCTTCAAAATTATAATATGAAACAATAATTGAGCAATTGTAACAAAATGACAGATAGGACATAGAAATCAAGCACATCTGACTGGGTGGCTTATCCAGAAAAGATACAGAATGAATATGGTACTCTACCTTGAGTTATAGAAGAGCAAACCACCAATGATGACAAATGAGATGCAAGATATAAGGAGCACGACGAAAAATCTGCATAACAGCAAAATTCCCAGTATCATGTAAAATGAAAAGATCAGTGAAACTAAAATGGATAAACAGCAACCTTCAGAATTCATCAGATAAAAAACGCTTGAACTGGCAAAATGACTTCATCAGATAAAAGGCATGAATTGGAATTTCATAGTTTCACAGGAATTGGAATTGGCATTAATTTCACAGTGAAACTAAAATGGATAAACAGCAACCTTCAGAATTCATCAGATAAAAAAAGCTTGAACTGGCAAAATGACTTCATCAGATAAAAGGCATAAATTGGAATTTCATAGTTTTTTTGCAGGTAATTCAACCCCTTTCATGATTATGCGCAGTTTAGAAACCATTCCCAGCTTATTAACTTCTTTAGGAGTAAACTTAAACAGACTTTTGCATTGAGCTAACATGCATGTGCTCAAACATATTAACAATACTTAAACACCCAGAAGGGAACTGGAAATCTTTCATTAGGCCATACATGGTATGCTACAAAATAAATTGACTGTAACCAGGTAAATAGCCATAAGCAGGAAAACATATTTGGCTTCAAATTAAGCCAAAGGCCAACGATCTACTTTCTGGAGGAAAATAAGATATGTAGCTCATCCATTTTCCTAAAATTAATTAGTAGAACTCCCATGATCCTCTAAGCCAACATATACGAGATATTTGAGTGAAGTTCAAAGGAGGTGAGTGTAGAACTTACGTCGCAACATTTCTCTCAAGTTGCATGTTGAATAAATATATCAACCTTGACAAATTCCATCTGATATCTCGAAATGGAGGCAAAGAAACGTCCAATTGAAGAGGAGTTGGTTTACTCATGGAATTTGACATACAAGCAAAAGGTGAACTCTTAACCGGATATGTACAAATCATATAGAAGAATAACTGTTGTATCGCATTCAGCTTTACACTGTTGGACAAGAACTCTATCAGTCTAGCTAGGGAAAAAGATGTCATGAATGCTAAAATAAGCTTAGCATGTTTACCCTGCACAAGCTGTAGCAAGAACCATCATCAGTTACATGATAGAATGTAGATCAACCAGTTAGCACTACTTATCTTCCTTATGGTGAAGCAGCTTAAGAAGGAGTGTAGTACAAGTAGAGCTGCGACCAGATGCATTCTTTTACAAACTATTCACATAATAGACTCATTATTAGGTTTGACTTCAATCTAAAAGTGAACAATCCAGTATCAATTAAGTTATATCTATTGATCCCTGAGGGCACAAGGCAAGTTTAATTTCTTTATATCTTCATGCAAAAGTCTGAGAATTGAAACTCTAAACTGAAAAACCAGCAATTAGACCAGGATTTTCATTCTGTACAAATTTCAGAAGTATTAGCTTCCTTTTTCAATTTTATAAACAAGGAAACAGGGGTTCAGAAAGAACTTAATGAAACAAGTCCTAGAAATAGATTTTAACAAATGGACACAAGGCTAGGAGAAAGTTGGAGACTTTAAGGCCAGCAAATATAGTAATACATTCAACTCAAGCATAAAGATTAAGGCTTAACTGAATTCATGTTTAAATTCAAGACAGTCAGAATCTCCTGATCATCAGATTCTACTTGACTCAATTCAATTGCAGCCCTAAGGCCAGCTATAACCAGGTATCCCCAGACTGCAAACTTTTACATCTGAACAAGATAGCACATCAAGCGATGCATGACTTTCACCACCAAAGAACTATGCCTAAAGGCAATTACACAGTTTAAGATGCAAGAGCTTCAGATATTCCACTGTTTATACAGATTGTATGAATTAGATTACTATCCTGTACTTATTTCTTCCATTCAATGCATTCTTTCATCATTTTATGATTCTGCTAGGTTCAGAATCTGTCATATTAAGCTTCCAGTTATTTATCCAGCATAAAATAGCTGCATTTTGCCAGAGTTTATAACACAAAAATGCAAAGATTTCTGCTTTTTAGCTTTAGCTTCCATGAGATCTCGTAGCATATAAGATTTGTCTCCTCTTAACAAATTGTGAGAAGCAAGGGAAGAAGGTAGGGATGGCAAGGATGAAGGAAATATCAGCAATTAAAAATCTCAGCACGCTGCATTACATTTCTGCAAATGATCCTTTTCTGCTAAGGCTTAATATACTTTATCAATATGCTATGAAAGTACAGATGATTCCTCTGTAGCTAAGTCTTCATTCTTATCTCCTCATAGAGGCATTTATCTTTTAACCTCGGTCTTTCATTTTGGATTATGGATATAATGATATCCCTTGCTCTTCCACTAAGCATATTTCTATTGTCTCTTTATGTCCACATCCTTTCTTTTCCTAAGCTTCCCCCAGTCTAAAGAACAAATGTTATGCCTGCAATGAAATCTGGGTAGCCAGAAACCCTCTGATGAGCAAGTACTGACTAAGCGATTTGAATGGAAGTACCTGAAAGACAAAAAGATTGTGTTTTCACAGTTTTAAAGCTCTAGGAAACCGCGGAACATGCACCTGAAAAATACTTTGGATTTCCGTCTTTGAGAATCTATCACTAACTTTATTCAAATCAGTTATATTTACTGAAGGATCCAACTCCCTATGTTTCATATGGCAACTGATCTTCCATTTCCCTAGCAACAAATAACAACAATCGTCAGTAAAGAGAAAACGACTGATCAAAATTACTCAGATCAAGAACAATAGCAATTGCAAAGCATTCATTCAATGAAGGCATGGAAGTTGTAAACTGTAAACCCCTGCGTAATCTTCTACACAATTACATAGACAGTGTCTGTCATACAAAAAAAGAATGTCACAGACAATGGCCACGTGGTCACAAAAAACCCAATCAAGATTACAAATTAGAGGAATTTTCCAGCACACAAGCATGAACAAATCTGGAAAACCAGGTGCTACGTATGTTCTGGTATAACTATTGTCTAGATAGTAAGTAAAAAGTAAGAGTAAATCTTTCCTACACTGACGGTGTATACACTATCATTGTTGGATTCATTACATGTGTACAAAAGTTGAATTTCAAATTCAAATTTTGCATAGTTGTTATTTATCCAATATTGACAGTGTATACACTGTCAGTGTAGGAAAGATTAATCCAAAAAGTAATGCACACATCCATCGTTGAAAATCCACAACTAACATGCAAAACTCACCGTCTTCACTTAATAGCAAGTAACCTGGGCAAAAAGCTGAAGGAAGGTTGCACCTGCAGGAGTATGGCATTGAGTTTCATAAATATTATTACCCCCAAAAGAAAGCTAATGATTTCCAAAATCAAAATATAATACATGCACTTAACAAAGAAACTTTTCCTCTGTCTGGAATCAGTGACACAGAAACACTACACTCTTTTAAGACCACAGATTAAGAAGTTCCTTCATCTTATTAGTTTAAGCACATTTTGTCCATTAGCCTCAACCAAAAATTAATGCTCCAGATATCAGCACACTAGAGTAAAGAACAGATGTTATATAAAAACGCAAGAAATTTAACTGATGGATGCAAATTCACCAGCTGCAACATAATTAAGACAAATTTACGAACAGCTAAGAATCCCACAAAATTGCAATTACAACAGAGTATCTTTTGTTGCTTTTCATTAATTCCGCATACAAAAGGATGTCTGCAACTAAATCTCACTTCTTTTCATCTTCTTTTTGTCTTCTCTCTAGTCTAGCTATAGTGGTGCTATGCTTTGTGCAGTGCAAGAGGCTTAGAGTAGAGCCCCAATAGCACCTCAATAACACAATGAATTTCTCAAGTATCTGAAAGAAAAACAAAACTCAATGAAAATGTCTGGCAATGTCATTGCTGTCAAATAAAGATTGCATTCTCTATACTATACAGTTGAATTGTCATCTTTTTTCCAGGATATTTTGGAGGAAAATACAAGACTTCTGTCAAGTAGATTGAGTTCCATTGAAATGTCAAATAAAACAGTAATGGAGGTGAAAAAACCACCTTATGAGATGAATGAAGAAAAAAGGAAAAAAAATTAATCTATATCTTTTATTCAGAGAGTTACTAGAATTCTAAAAGCAATAACTTTGCTCCACATTGTGCCTTCCTCAGGAATTCTTATCATTAGTCATTCTTGGCTTTTTCAGCTGCCTACTCAGGCAATTGATCATTAGTGATGACTTCACAGTATTTTTAGCCATTGCCCAAAACCCCAGCAAATAAGCTGCCATTCGTCTAGAAAGTTCAAAAACGTTGCGGAAAATTACTATCATACCATTTCATCAAGCAAACCAAACTCATGATCCAAATGCCAGATGAAAAGTTCAAACAAGTTGATAGCATTAAACATTCATATGAACTCAAAACACGACAATTACATGGGACGGAAGAGTACAAAAAACAAGAACAGAAAGAAAAACATTACATGTACTATCTTGCATAAAAAAAATTTAAAAGAATCTTTATCTGGTATTCAACATAAACAAGACTTCAACTTTATATGTTTCCATTAGATACAGCACAAATGTACTTGATCAAACAAATGCATGCATTCAATCATAACCAGAAAAAATTTCTTACTAATAAAATATAGAACAATCTGAAGAATCAGAATTCAATCCAAATGGCTCACCTCCTTAATCGAGAAATCTTGGTCAATCTTGGCTTTGGTGTTAAAAAACATGGCCCTGTGCTATACAAGGGAAGGTGCAGCATCCCTTTTGCTTATTTCTCTCGACAGAATTTGTTTCTGAATAAAATGAACTAAGAGGAGGACTGAGGCAGTTTTCTGGAATTTGTAGTCGCTGACTCAGAGACAGTTTACTGTTTCATTTTTGTGATGTAAAGTGAAAGAACCCAGAAAGTGTTCTGCCTTTTATTACATGAAAAAAGATTACAAGTCCTAGAAGATTACAATTGACTGATCTCCAAACATGAAAAGAAAAAAGAGTCTTTTTTGTCTTACGGTGAAAAGAAAAGGGTTTACCTCATTTTATTTGATGTTAGCATTGATGCACCACCGACAAGGATTAAAAAAAGTAGTGATTAGATGTGAATCATGAGAGAGTTTTGATAAAATTTTTAATTTTTTGCTTGTATTTTTTTTTTGAGCATGGATTTTATGGACAAATAAGGAGCTTGTATAATGACATAGAGATTGATGGGTTGAAATTGATCTATTTGAATTTTGCGGGCTTAAAATTAGTTTTTTTGAGAAAAATTAAAGGGACACTAAGGATCCACGTCATATACACGTATTGGATTATTGTAGATAATACCTTTTTTGTTATTTGAGATACAACGGTAAATATACAATTTGAACCTATAGCGTAGAAGGTAAGGACAAGCAAATTATCCGCTAACTCGAAACCCGTCATGTTCGATCTGATCCAAAATTTAAGATATTCAATTTGTGATCCGATCAAAAGAGAGTCGAATACTCAATAGGATGTGGGACGGGTTAGGATTAAATAATTAAAAACCCACAGGTACACGATCCACTCCATATATATATATATATATATATATATATATATACATACATTTTTTTATTTTTTATTTTTATATGCATACTATAGAGTAATATTTTTAAAACTAAATAAGCACTTTCATTGAATAAATTGCATTGCAAATATAAGAGACTATAGTTTATTTACAAGATTCATTTTGTAGAGATTATGATCTTATGTTTTATAAACAAAAATTTAATTAATGTAGAATATATATTCAAAAAAATGTGTTTTTTATTTCAAACTTTTATTGATTTTGAATTTTTTAAAAAATTTTCCTTTATCTTGTATTTTCTTTGCATGCTTGTTCCTTGGTGAGAAACTTTTTTAAGAACAAAGTTTTTTATTAAAATTTTAGATGAATGTGTAAAATATAAAATTATATCAGTATAAATTTTTTTTAAAAAAAATTAAATGATAAGTGGAGTGGAGCAAAGTACCCGTTAATCCGACCTTATCTCAGCGAATACCCTATAATCGGGTATGAATAAGGATAAAAAAAATAACTAACCTGCAAAGCATGAATCGGGCTAATCAAATAATGGACAGGACGAATATCCGATCCACGTCCACCCGTAGTAGAAGGTTAAAAATCTGGAGTTGATAGAAAGACAGAGGGGAGTCGTGCAAAGTGTGCAAGTGAACCACGTCGCTGTCTTATGTGGATTGTTTTCACTTGGAACTAAGTTGCGAAATCTTAAATGCAGATTCCTAGACTGCTTGTTCGCACTCAATACTTTTTTTCTGATCCATTCAGCACCAAAAATGGTAGGTAGAACAGGAAAAAATGCAAATATTAGAGCATCCAAGATTTGAATGTCAGTTGTGCCAAAAGTCATTATGAAAACTAAGGTCAAGCAAGAAAAACTTAATTGTCATGTTATTAATTAATAATAACAGTAATTGAAGACTCCAAGATTAGATCTAGTTTTGTGATGCAAGATTTTTTTTTTTTCCTTTTTTCCAGAGTGAAAACTTAACATGTTTTCCAAAGTGTTTAATCTTAAATCTTAAAAAGAAAATGAAAAGGGACCCCTTTTGAAAACTGACTCCTTGTATTTACTGGAGTGCTCCTTTCATAGCGCATATGCAATCGTCAATGGTGGTCCAAAACAGCCTCACAAGTTAAAATCAATATTGCATTGTCAATTTAACACCACGTGTTAGAAGAGAAAAAAAGATAATGGACAGCAAACTCAGCGGATAAGGTATTTAATGTATGGCCTTATTTCGCACAGGTGTTGTCTGTTTGAATGCATATGAAATAAAAATGTAATTTAGAATTATATTTATGATATAAACAGAACAAAATTTGAATTTTTTTTTTTGTTGCAAATCTTAATAACCAAAACCAATTTTTTGTGTAAAACAAGAGAGAGAGCATCTGGAAGGAGTTCATTTTCCCTTTTTTTTTTGTTATCTTTTGGCTCTCTCTCCATTTTATTTTTTTTTTGGGGGGGAATTTGATGGAAAGACGAAATCAAACGTGTTATTAAAGGAGGAGGAGGAGGAATTGTGAAGATTAAAAGAACGCATTACTACACGGTTGGTTTGGAAGGATCAAATAGGTAGTAGTACCCAGGCGGATGGTTGTGCTGGACTGCTTTTATCGCTCAACCACCACATCAGCCGGAGAAATTTCTTGTAATGGAGGAACACGCGAGTGCTGGCGGTCCTTTTCCGTTTTCGTTCTTCCAGTCCAGGCCGCAAAAAGAATCTTAAGATTTCAGCCAAATCCGGCAGGAAAGGAAGAAACGAAAACTTGCCATCGGGCAGCGTCTGTATTCTATTGAGCTGTCGATGTCAAATGGGGTGCTGGCAAAGGAGGACAAATTGGAAATTTTTGGCCGAGTCATTTTCACTTCTAATCAAACAACTTTAGGGCTGTTGGGATGGATCGTGTTGTAACTTTCGATCACCTGACCAGCTCTCTGTTTAACACTCCTTATTACTAGGAGTGACCAACTGGGATTTTGCCAAATTGGCGTCCCCCTCAACTTGACATGAATTATTTTGATGATCAAAAATGTAAGTCAACGATGTGTTTCAGCCGCCACCGTATTGATTTAAGAGAGTAAAAAGTTGGTAGCATCAAGTATTAGGATGTACAATGTTAGCTCTAAAATGCTTGGCCTAACATTCTGCAGGATAAAATGTGGCAAGGAATCTCACCAAATTATTAGCCAAATCAAGATCATCAGGTTGCCAAATTTGGCAGCAAGAGGATCAGCCAAATCAAGAATCTCATTTTAACTTCAACTTTTTATACTGTACCCAACAGGTAATTAGCTTGTTCAAGTCTTCAAGAACAATCAACTCAACCATGTTAATCAACTTGATGTTAAAACCTTCAGAATAAGAAGCAGCAATCATGTACTTGTAACCACTTTTACTAGCCATGCCTGAATCAAAATCTTAGAATATGGTATAATCACAAGTAGCTGTTCGCTTTTACAATGTCCCACTATCCACAAACTACAAAATGATCCCCACAATCCCACAAGCCAAAAGGGGGAGTAGCACTTGAAGGATAATATTTAGTTTGCAATCCCTCCATCCGAGCAATTAATTTAGATAAAGTGCCTACATCTGTCAAGCTTTCATGGGGGAATGACATCATTAAGTCGTCCAACTAAAACTTCATGGTCAAAACAGATGGTCCAAAAAGGAGGGCTAAAGCTAGAAGCATGGTAATGGTATCTGACTTAGATTGCACTGCCATGGATTGTAAGCACAAACATAATTGCTGATGGAGAAAAATGTAAAGAGGTGAGGTTGGGAGTTCTAATAGGCACGTGCAAGAAATTTGGTGCTTATGAAGGGGCTGGTGGTTCAGGCTTCACAAGTGCGGGCTCCTCTGATTGAAGAGTAGGATAGATAAGTGCTGCAAGTGATATGGGCATGATGCAAAGTGCTTTAGATTGAAGATATTGCATTGCAGCCCCAACATCTTCTTCCATTAGCTTAGCTACTTCCCGTTCTGTTTCTTCGTTGGACCATTTCTCCCAAACTTGCTGGTTGGATATGTTTTCACCAGTATCGCCCTTTATTTTTGACAAGCAAAATTTGTCAAGGTTAAAGCAGCTTTTGTGGAAGCAAACAAGGAGATTGTTCTGAAGAACATGAGCTTTTGTGCAGCTCAAGGCTTAATACAAATAAATTATGCTTCACATTACCTCAACAGTCTGCAATGGAATGTCAGCAACAAGTTGTGCCACTGCACCAGCTCCCCCTAGCCTACTCATGCTCAATACCTGATAAGTAGTTGATTGGCATGAGATTAGGGCAGCAGGTAAAAAAAAGGGTAATATCTGCAAAACCTACAGATGTGACATTAATTGAATATTTATCCGAATGAAATTAGTAATGAGATGTCCAGGCAACCTATCATATTCATATCAATAGATGAAGAATAATTTAGAAGGAAAGCAGTTCCTCATGGGCAGGTATCTTACTTGACCAACCCCCCTTCCTGGCACCACAGTACCTATTTTAGATTTCTTCTGTTAAAACTTGGTCTGGACTTGCATATGTTGTAGTTCAGACCAAACAATCTTGTTCATACTTTGTAGCATTAGAGTCCAAAACATTTAAGTAATGGAACCTGCTAGGTCAGCACCATCTATTGGATGAAATTTGTCAACCTCGTCAAAAGGTTGTAAAAAGAGCAAGATCAAGCCACAAATCCTAGAAATGTCTTTTAGGAGATGAACTTCAAGCCACTCTTAAATCCTATATCATCAAGAATACTTCAGCCAGGATGGCTTCATTCATTAAATGAAATCTACCTGCTGAGGTAACTATATAAGTGCCCATTTCCCTCAACTGACATTCAAGCACTATTAATTTGTCTTTGATTGCAATCAGCCAAGATGCTTCTGAAACAAATGCAGCTTCCAGGCAAATTACAATTGGAAAGCCAAGTATGACAACAAAGTGATCACCAATAATAACTTAAAATCTCTGCAACTGGCATGGCCATACCTTGACCTGAAGCCTTAAGAACTTCACATAATCTAGAATCTCATCAAGCATTGCAGCTCGGTCTGTCTGCCAAGTTAAGGGAGAAAAAGGAAAAGAGAGAAAACACCAAATTTCAGTCCCAAAACAATATACATCCTGCTTAAAGAGAAAAGGAACACATTCTACTGTGTAAATTCTGTTTAACATCTTGTTATACAACCCATAGTCGGTTAAGTTGATAATGAATCGTCATTATAAAACAGAGCAATCACCATGACAAAAAAGTGAAGAATTTTTTCATTCCTAAGCTACACTTCAATCCCACAACATACATTGGCAAACAGCTCAAAGGTCATTGTCCCACTGAATTGTGTGACATATAAATAATGATATATCAATCTGGGTGACCACGTTTGCTAAAGTAGCAACAACCTAACTATGCCATCAGTACACAGTCATTAATGTATCACATAATCCTTAAAAGATAATATAATCATCTTATTCATATTCCATTGCAGAAACTTATCAATAAGCTTTTGCTGCAGAAGTAAAATAGTATGAATTAACGAAGTGATGAGTTAGCAAAGAGAAAAGATTACTGAAACATTTCCAATAATCTACATTGTCAACAGATAAATAGAGCAAAACCTTGTTGCAGCTAGGAACAAGTTCCTGCAAGGCCTTTATTCTTTCTGATATCCTCTCTCTACGTAGCTGTGACATGAGATCAATACATTTGCACAAGTTAAAAAGATGTCTCTTCTTAAACTACCTCGAATAGCTCAATTATCTTAGTTTTATTACCCTCTCAGCAATACTATGGGGATCTGTCGCTTGTCCTCTTCGGGCACGAACCCTTGGCCTAATGGCAGGTGGATGTGGGACAGTCACTGCAGTGCTTGGTGTCGGTTGGCCCTGAAAAGCCTGCAAAAGCCATTCAGGGGTTCAAGATTTTACCTACTCATAAAACTGACAATTTATTAAGACTATCATAAGTGCTTGACAATTTATTGAGAGTATCATAACCTCTCATCAACATAAATTCCGGAACACAATGACTTCCTTTGGATGCATAACCTGAAATTGGACTATTATAGTACTACCTTGGCTATACATGTAACTCCAACCACTAGACAATCTGAAGTATCTTTATAGCCAAAACATACAGCCAAAAATCGAACTACGTCTTCCATAGATGTATGATCATTATAGATGAAGTATAGAAAATAATATCACCTGCTGGACATGAGGTGCAGCATGCCGCATCCCGTGAGGCTGCATTTGTTCAAAGCCCGGGTACAAGCTTCCCATATTTACAGCTTCCCCTCTATCCTGCAAGCAATAACATAAAGAATATCAAATTATCAACCAGACTAACAAAAAAGTCCATTTCTTATTTCCATTTTCACTCGAGAACAAAATCACCACCAAAAATCAAGATAAAGAGGTTCAAATTTCCCTCCAAATTTCAGTCAATTCACCCAAAAAAACTCATTTTTTTATAGTAAACGAAAGGAAACAGTAGAAAAAAGAAAACAAAAAAAAATTCACAAAGCTTACTGCTTTAACACCAAAAGCTCCAGTGTCAGTGACGTCATCGCGGCCATTATCCAAGCTAAGACCTAAAGGGAACAGCTGTTGATGATGGTGTAGACCGCCAGCGACGGAGCTGAGCTGAGAGACAGCAGAGTTAAGCGAGGCCGTGTCCGACGTGCTTCCGACGTCGTTTACTGGCAAGCCGGAGTAGGAAGGGAGTTGGAGAATTTGCTCAAGGAAGTCGTCCGTGGGGTATCCTTCCTGAGGTGGGTTTGTTGCCATGTCTGGGGAAAACTCGTCGGAGACGGAGAATTTCCCGGCGAGGGGACTATCGCAGAGAAGGATAGAGAGAGAGAAAAGGTGGAAGAGGATGTTTGCTTGTTTGTCGTTTGGTGTGGACTGTGGAGTTTTCTGGTAGCGTGCCTATTTAGTGTTAGTGCGTTTGGGGAAATGAAAAGTGTGACGACTTTTGGCAGTTTTGGTCTGTCAGGGTTGAAAATTGTAGTTTTGGAGAGATTGTGGGTGGAAATATAAAATTAGAATTAGGATTTGGGAAAAGGTTATTGTTTTTCTTTAATTTTTTTTTTTACTATTTATTTGTAGCAGAGTGTAACTTTGAAATATTAGCCAAACTATCTACAAGTCAATTGCAGACATAGCTAGATTATAAAGGCAAAGAAGGCAAATGTTATTTGCATTCTCATTTTTGTTAGTCACACTTGCACTGTCATTTTCATCATATAATTTTTATTTATTAGATTATACGATAAAATAAACGATGAGAGTACGATTAACAAAAAAAAAAAAAAAAGAGTACGAATAACAGTTTTCGATCAAAAAATAGAATAACGATAAATATAGAAAAGTAGTAGGTAAAAATTGTCTCTAACTTTGAAGGTTATAGCATTTGTATGAATTTTCTATTTCATTGAACTCTCTTTTTCCATGTATTAGTATTTCCAATTTCCTATATATATACACACACATACTATATACATACATCCTATATATATATATATATACACACACACACATATATATCTTACTAAAAGCCTTTTAGGGTATTGTTGGCAATCAACATTCTAAAATGAATTTTTAGGATTCTAGTAATATTTTTTGTTTTTTTGTTTGTCAAATTCTACAAACAAAAACAGATTAACTCCATATCATATAAACGCTACAAACATAACTAAACTTGCTTAGGTAGAAAGTCCAAATACCAAATACTCCACTATTTCAACAGATAAGTGGTTATTAAAAAATTTACAAACCAAGGAGGCAAAAAAAAAAAAAAAAAAAAAGATTAAAAAGATACAGCGTGTAATATCTCTCCCACTGTGTGATCTGTGTGTTTTGCATAGCTCATCTATCTTGCTGTCACTACTGATCGTGGAGATGATCCTTCCTCAGAAAGATCAAAGTAAAGATCATCACTCTTGCACAATGCGTACACAATGTCCACCATACTAGGCCTTTTTGAAGGATCTCTGCTCAAACAAGCAATTGCGACGGTCATTACATTCACAACACTTTCCATTGAGATCGTCTCCTTGAGCAAATACTCATCCATCCATTCTCTCATCTTCTTCACCTTTCTGTCTTCTGTTCCCTCCAAAACTCCATCAACTTTAGCCCATAAAACCTTCCCCTCTTCGTCGATCGCCTCCTTGCCTGAAATGAGCTCAAGCAACACCACCCCGAAAGAGAAAACATCCATTTTAGTAGAAACAACACCATCAGTGAGATATTCAGGGGCAATGTAGCCCTGAGTTCCAACAATGTGCATTGTTATGGCATTGCAGCCTGATTTTGCCAGCCCGAAATTCGCAATTTTGGCTCTCATCTTTGAGTCTAGCAGAATATTGCTGCTTTTGATATCTTTGTGGACAACTTGTGGTCTTGTGTGCTCATGAATGTATTGCAGACCATTTGCAACATCAATTCCAATTCTCAACCTTGTTCTCCAGTTTAGCTTATCATTCTTGTTACCATGCAGCCATGAATGAAGAGAACCATTTTCAACATATTCATAGACCAGATAACAATTTGCCTCCTCTGGATCTATGCAGAAGCCTTCTAGCTTCACTAAGTTCCCATGGTTCACCTTCAACCAAGAGGGGGGGGGGGGGAGAAAAAGTGGTTAAAATCTGGAATTTGATCATGTTAGTAAAATCTGGTTAAATGCTTTGTGTATGTAGACCAAAAACAGGGACAAGCAACAAAGGTTCCAGAAGTGAAAAAGTCCAAGAGACCAGAATTGTCAAAGTTCACACACACAATTTTTGGGATTGTCCAAAAGTCCCAAGTTTATTATGCTAATGACATCAGTCGAGTTCCCATTCAACACAACCAAACGATAAAACAAGAGAGTATAATTAGTACTACTGATTTGCAGGATGCTGGCCTATGTGTCAAAGTTCAATTGCAAATGGAACAGGATGACAGCATTTTTACAGGGTTTAATTAAATGTGGACTTTTGTCATCCAGAGGACAAGTGGAGTTTATAAAAATCATCATGCTTAAGAAAAAGACAGGCCCACTTCACCTAATCTCATATATTCCCTTAGCAAGTGAATGATCAATAATGTGGTAATTAATTTTTTAAATGATCAATTAAGGTAGAAGTTAAAGCTTCTGCTTTCAAATATCAATACGTATCTTTCTTTCTCATCTCATACTATTCCATTTTTCTTGTCCAAATTGTCATCATTAGTCTCATTGAAAAGTTGTCATTTGTTACTCGGAATGAATGAAAGGTAGTTAAGACATTAACGCATGAGAATGGTAAATCTTGTACTTCTAGATGTCCAGGAAAATTCACTGACCACTCCTAAGGAAATGGTCAAAAATTATGATCAGAAATTTCTAGAAATATTGTAAAAAAAAATGAAGTATTAGAATGAAAAAACAGTAAAAAGGATGAAACTTTTTACCTTCTGTAAGATCTTGAGTTCTTCATAGGCATTCCAGTTCATCTTCTTGATGGCATAAGGTTCTCCATTGATGCTGCCTTTATAGACAGACCCTTGAATCACCAAACTTTCATCAAAATCGTCCGTAGCTTCTCTCAACTCTTCAATTCCAAACACTTTATACTTGTCCAAGTAGTCTGAAACATCAGCTAATAAATTCACCCCTGCATCCTTCGACAGTGCCCTGTCTGCCCTGTCAAATTTCTGTTTCTCCACGTCTTTCCCCTTTGCCAACTTTTTCTTAAGCAAAGCCTCCCTATGAAGCCATAAACCACAAACAAATATCAGCAAGAGCGCACATATACCTAAGCCAATTCCCAGACCTATGACAGCACCTTTCCTGTCATTTTTACGCTGAGAAACGGGAGAAACGGGAGAGGCAGGAGGAACTATGGGCTGTGAAAGCACAGGAAGCCGTGATACCGGGATGAAAACTGTGTCAAAAGGCTGAGTATTGTTACCATTAACATCAATTATAGACTGTACTGTTGACCCAAACCTTGAGGCAAGAGAAGAGAAGTTATCAGAAGGATGGTAAACGTAGCTAATAAGATAGTTGGTGCGGTTTCGCAACTGTGTTGAGTTGGGACACTTGCAAAAGATTGGAAACACCGTATTACTGCCAATAGCCAGATCGGTTGCGACCAGAGTTGGGTTCACAACTTCAACTGATTGGTAAGTGGTGAGATTTTGGTAATTCGTAGTTGATAGTTTCAAGAAGGTGTCACCGCCTTTTATGGTGTAGTTGAAGGCAGCATATGAGATGTTGCCAAAAGTACTGTTGATAAAATTACATCCACAACTAATCGGAACAAAAAGGGATTCATCAGGGAGGAGTGGGGAGGTTGTATTGGATATGTTACTCGGTTTTGCTATCGTCGGTCGGCTGACGGAGAACAGATCACCTATGGATGCCAGGTCAAGAAAATTAGGAGCCAAAGCTCTGTACAGGACATAGGTTTGGCATGGATAGACAGCCCCAGTCGTTGAGCAGGCGTATCCTGTGGTGGTTGGTCCTTGAGCTTCAGTAAGACTCAGATTCTGAGAATAAAGGAAGAGGAAAATCAGAAAGGAGAGATATCTTGATTTGATTCTCATCTTTGCTTTGAACTTGAGAAGGGCTGTTACATTAGTTCTGCAACCAAGAAACTAATAAAAGAACCCTTATATACTGCTAGAAAAATTGAAGGCAAAGGTTCCAATCTAGTTTATATGGTGCCGAAGAAGTCAAGTTCTCAGTTCTCTGTATTCTCAGTTTCTCACCATGCTTGGCAGAAGAACATGGAACCTCCTCCTTGTTGGTCCCACTCACAAGAATTCCCGGTCAACCATTTCATTTCTGTCTTTGTTGTTTTCTGACTATTTTAAGGAAAAAAGAATGCAATTACGCACCGTTGCTTTGACATGTCCGACCCTTGCATCAGGGCATTAAACCCTGTTTGGATTGCATTTTTCATCATTTTTCATGAAAAAATTATTGTAACGATTTGATAAAAAAAGATAATAGAAAAATGTGATTACGAAAAATGATTCAATTTTCTGATAAAAATGACAATCCAAACAGGGCTATTTGTATTTTTTTTCTCCCAATTTTCCTTGAATATGAATATATATCCCCCAAGTTTTCTAGTCTGCGGTTGAGTTTTCTTACTATAGCTTGAAATAAGCAACATGTCTTACATTATCCAAAATAGTCATAGCCAATTTTTGTGGAGATCTTACAAAATTTTTCACATGGAATTGCAAGGTAAAATAATAAATGAAAAAAAAAGAACCATTTGTAATTTTCAAGTATTCTTTGGTGGTGCTAGAGGTCAGGGGTTCAACCCTGCCTCCCTCAAATTTGCCACAATATGTGACTGATTTTAGTTGACCATCTCCCCTTGTCGATTTCTCCTTAAATTAGATTAGTTTAAATTATAGGACATCTATCATCGTAGATAAAAAAAAAAAAAAAAAAGTATTCTGCAGTGGATACTTTCAAGCTTTAATTGCATCTGTCCTGTGATGTATATGATAGTTGACCAGTTCAAAATTCAGGGGCGAACTATCCATCGGGTGAACAGGAAACAGAAATCAGTAGTAGTCTTTAATGTGATTAGGTGGAGGATGGCTTTATTGTGTAGTGGCTGTGACTGTCTATTAGTTTGAAACTTTGGTGTGATAGCCAATGAGAGTTTAGCGTATTGGAAGGGTTGTCTTCCTGAAAACTAAGCTGGGCCGTGGTTCACACTTCACAAATGGGAGAAAAATCAAACCACAAAGGAAACACAACTTTGCCACTTCTAAAGTTCTAAAGACTCAATAGACGACTTGACTTCATAATTAAATATTCGATTATCAGGCAACTTTGTAGTTGGTACAGACCAACATACACGACAATGGAGAAATGAGTTTAAACCTATGGAGTTTTCCAAGAGTAAATCATTCATTCCCAAGGTATTCAAGAAGAGAGGCCCAATCCCCTATACGTTATCCCTAGGACTCGAACCGTGGTCACCATGTCCACCACGTGTCATTCAGTTGTTGGAAAGAATCACTCTTTCACTCCTCAGTCTTGGTCTTTCTTGTGACTCTGTACTTGAATGTTGCAAGAAAATAAATGAAGATATTTTTGCCACTTCCGTCTGAAATGGGATTCTACCTTTTTACATGCCTATGTGAGAATGGGATCTGGGGCTGGAACGGTTGTTAGAGCAACCGTTCCGGAAGGTGTAACATCATTTGCATACGGTGTAACATCATCTGTACAAGGTGTAACATCATCTGTACAAGGTGTAACAATAGAACAACAACGAGTAACACTAGAACAACATTTTTGTGGATCCCACACGACGTGAAAATCGAGTTACAAAGAGTGATCTGAACCGCACAAATTTTTTTGACCTAATCATGGCCGTGAACCTTCCGGAACGGTTGTAAGAGACAACCGTTCCAGCCCCTCCTCCGTGAGAATGCTAGATATCTAGAAACCTGCCAAAAGGATATTCTTGGCATGCATTTCCACTGCAGGGAATGATGCATTTCTGCAGAACCATTAAATGGAATTAAATGGAAAAAGAATTTTTGATACCATTCTGCTATTATTGCAGCATTTACGTGTATTGTGGGGAACATTAAAACTCAATGATGGAAGAGCTATTATATACTATCTTATAGTAAAGTTCTCTGTCCTTCTTTCTTTCTGAAATTTCTGTAATCAATTCTTCAGAGCATTTCCTGTTTGCTAACGCTTCAGAGCTAAGGTTTCCTATCCATTCCTGCATAATCTTGCCAAGAGCGGGATTCGAATATCAAATCTCTTGCATAATTTCTCAAACATTCAGCAAGGGAGGAGTCAAAAACGATAACTTACAGAATAAAGTCTGTATCAACCTCTGCATCATTAATTTCTTGCTTCTGATCAAATTTATCTCTTCATTATGTCATCCTTCGTCACAGTGAAATCCCAAAGGTCCCCATACTTTTCATTGAAATCCCATATATCCATCGTATTGTAATCATTTATTAGCTTATCACGAGCACCTCTCTCCATGTTGTATATTTGAGGCTCAAAGTTGTGTGGTTCACTTGGCTTACCCATCTCAATAATGCAAAATACTGCAGCAAAAACAACTGCTCCAATATACAAGTACTCTCCCTGCATGTCAAGAGGTGAAATCAGCATTTCTCAGTTCAAGGCTGAAATGTATCTACTTTATTCAATTTTACGAAACAAAGTAATATCAGACGTGCATTCTGTTTTTAGTGTTAATATGGCTCTTCTCACCGGTACATTGAAGTACATGCCAGCAGCAATTGCTGGCAGGAATAGCCAAGAAATAAGACCTGCAACCAGGCAGAAAGAGGAACAAGTTGTATGCTTTAATTATCTTGGAAGACATAGGTTAAGAGTTCTGTAGGATGATGGTCAATACCTTGGAATCCTGTAGGAGGTCCCATTGCTGCATAACCTTCTGCAATCGATCCCCAAAATGTTCCTGGAATGAGAGTTTGAAATTCATATTCGCAATGAACAATGACTCTAATCCTGCTAATGATGATGGAGCTAGGCGTCAAGGAATTCAAACTAAATCAACTCTGCGAGATTACATGACTTGCATTGCTTCATGACCAGCTAAAAACGACTAAAGCGTTTTATTGTTTCATTAACACATTGAACCCTACAACTTCTGCCTTTAGTTGAAAGTACTAACCGTAGGGTTTCAAAACTTGAACTTTCATGGAAATTCACGGGGAAAATTCCTTCTCCATAAATGATTCCGGATGGTTTCATCACGGCAAAAGCGAAATATTATTGCTATTACTTTTGGACTTCTGTATGATGTATCATGAAGCATCATGCAAATCAATGATTAAACAAGATTTTTTCCTTTCCCTTGCAACTTGCAGGGCTCTAAGTTCACTTAAACAGTACTTTAAAACTGGTTTGTTCCATAAAATTCCACTCATGGGAAATTTGTAATAGTCTAAGAATGCTTTAAGGAATATTCTTAAGCAAGATGGCTGGATGATGAAGTAAAATGAGCCATACCTTTATCGTCACCTTCATAGTAAGTATGGTGATCATCATAATATCCAAACTTAAAGTCATCCTGTAATCACAAACACAAAAGTAACTAAATATGCCTGAGTTTTTAAGACCCTTGGAGTATACTGAATCGCCAGGCTAACAAAGAAAAAACATACCTCTTCAATTCCGTTCGTTCTCCAGCGGTCCACAAAATCTTCATTCAGGTCAGGCTCTATTTCTGATAAACCTGCATTCAATCTTTTTGAGCTAATCCTGCTAAGCTGAGGATTAATCCTTGAGAAAAATGAACCCGGGATCTTCTGAAACGAGGGTATTAACTTAGTTTGACATGATTCACATCTGGTTGAAGCAACTTTTCTGGCTAAATTGATGGAGAAAACTGAGGGCGTCACTGATCCTGCCATTTTTTCCGTTAATCCTCTGTTTCTTGGTGTTTTTTGGGTTCTTTTTAATTTTCATTCCTAAAGATCAAGTCACTATAGAGGCAAAATTTTTGGTGTGAAGGTCCAGTTAACTTGTAACATGTGTTGAGAAAGCAACTTTGGTTTTGGCTTTATTGCAAGAATTTTGTCCTCTGATGTGGTACCTGTGTCACAGCTTAATATTGATGCCCCTTCTCAATTTCTTGAGTGAATTTGTCTGGGTAGCATGTTCAAATGGACGATGGATGCCATCTTATCCACTTCTCCTTTTAGCCAAAGCAAATAGGCCATGGATAAGGTCTGGGGTCCTGCTGTTAACTGGGTTCGTTTTCTGGATTCATAAACTTTGAGCAAAATCAGAAGCTTAAAATTACAAAAAGGCTTAATTAAGGCGATAAACAATATAATTTCTTGACATCTTTTTCATTTGAGTTAAAAGCTTTTAAAGCTCCTAAACTAAACTTTTACTTAGTTGCAGCTTTGGTCTTAATTATAGTAGCATTTGACTACCCTTATCAAAGTGTTCATTCAATAAATGGCAGGTAATATCTTGTAATGCTCAAAAGAGTGCCATGTAAATGGTAAAAGAACAACTCCTCATACAATCATCCTATTTTGTTTAGTATTTTCTTTTTGCTCCGAGTGAAAGAAGAGCAAGTGTTCGATTTTGCATTTATGATACAGGTCGAAAGTCTTGAGGCTATTTGTAGCATATTTGGAATTTTGTTGAATTTTTAACCATGAATTTGTCATTTTAGATCTACAAATCATTATCTAGAGTTCATAAGAAAAACAAAGGGCATATTCTTCTGGAATTTGTATATAGTTACAAGTTACAAGTTTTTTAATTATAAAGGCAAAAAACCTTAAATTCTAAGGCTATTTGAAACATATTTAGATTTTTGTTGAACTTTGATCCATGAATTTTGTCATTTTGAATCTACAAATAATTGTCAAGTTTCGTTAGAAACACAAAAACTGCTGTTTGGATGGACTGTTTTTTGAGATATTTAGTTTTTTAAATAAAATGTTAGAGTAATACACCCAAAAACACTCTAAATACACCTATAAAAAATCAAAAATTAATTATAAAAAATATCACCATCCCTTTCTTCCTTCGCCCCACCACCCCTTCCTTCATCTTCCTCCTCATCCTTTCCACCACCTCCACTTTTTGCCCCCAACCTCCCCACCACTTTTTCCGCCCTCTTCCGCCACCTCCTATTTCCCATTCTTTTTGCACCCTTTCCTTCACTACCATTCTATTTTTCCCCGTGCCACCCTCCTCTCGCTGGTTTCCCATCTCTATCTACATCTCACCCCTTCTTCCCTAACCAACCGATCTATAGAGAAAGAGAGGGCAAGGGGAAAAATAGAGAAGGGAAATCAGAAGGCTTCTAAATTTGATTGCACAATTAGATCGCAACCAAATTATGAGGAGAGAGAGGAGTTAAAGGGAGGAGGGAAAGTACAGGGGATAAGGAAAAAGAAAGGGGAGGGAGGGAGGGAGGGGGTGGCTAACAAATAGGGGTGGGCGCAAATCGGATACCCGTCCCTAACATGATTTGGCTGATCCGACCATAATATATTGAATCAGCCATTTTGCCACCCTAAACCGCTCCTAATGTCTCCGGATACCCGCTATTTGGGTACCCAAAAAAAAAAGGGACATGTTATAGGATACCCACCCCTAAAAAAAACCTATTTTTCAATAAAAAAAATTACTTTTCACTTAATATCAACATGTTTTCCAACATTAAAAAAATCTGCTTTCCAATTAATATTGATAGAGATATTGTAATTAAAGTCCATACATCACTATTCTCACACATTTCATCCAACAATCAAACCAATCTCATAAATTTAGTACATATTAGAATTACAATATCTAATAGACAAAATGAAGTTTCATGATAATTTTGAGTACATTACCATTCTCACACATTTCATCCTTCTACAACACAACAAACAAAAGGATAATAAGTATTCGACAACTTTCCTAATTTTCTTAAGGATGTTATGGTACAAGACTGCATCCCAAATGAGTCGACTGTGGAATCAAGTCCGGAAAAAGAATTGAATAGAGCTAATTATTTTTTGAGAAAGTATAACCAAAATAAGCTTAAAAAATCTTCCCCAACTTCTTCGCATCTTTGGAATAGACCTTATGGCATTAAAGGTGATGAAAAAGAAAAATAAATTTCTTGCACTAAAATAAAAGAGACAAATTTAAGAGAGATTATTGTAGTAAAGTAAATCAAATAAATAAATAAATAAAAGACACAAATTTTTTAATTACCTAACTAACAGAAAATTAGAGTTCCAAACACAAATCTTGGATTGAATTGATGGGAAAATTTGCATAAAAGATCAAAGGAGGTAAAATAAAAATAAAAAGGATGAACAATTTTTATAATAGAGTTTCACAAAATTTTCTTCGTTTTGTTCATTTGGTTTAGGTTTCACTGAGAATATTCGCTTTCTTCAGACAATATGAGGAGAGCCGGATCATATGGGATTCTAATATGAAGCTGTGAGCTACTTCACCTACACTTAGGATTTAACATTATAAAATTATAAAATGACCCATAATTTTTTAATATTTATATAATATACCCTGCGGGTCGCGTACCTGCGGGTTTTTTTATTTGTCTGATCCATATCCGTATTCATTTTTACCGGTACTCGACCCTCATCTGTTCTGCTAAGAAAAATTGGATCGAATATCCTATTTTTTGGATCGAATTAGATTCAGCGGGTTTTTGGATCGGCGGTTGTTTTTACCCACCCTTACTAGCAAGAAGAGGGATAGGAAAAAAATCAACTAATTCAAACGGAATACAAGTTTTCCATATAAAAGTTTTCGAAAAACAAGTTTTGAGTAAAATTTTTCAAAATTTTTAAAAACATTCTAAAAATTTATAAATTTTAAAAATATTTTAAATCCAATTTTAGAGTAAAGTGGCATACAATACTAAAATAAATTGGGGATGAGTTGACTGATAATTGCCAGGAGTAGTGTAAGAGAAAAATCTTGGATTCGACACCTTTGACCTATACTTAAAAAAACTAAAATAAAAAGTTTTTAAAAAAACTAAAATAAATTTTTTTTAAAAACACAAAAAAGAGGCACCTAAGTTTTACGGACCCACAATTTATACAAGGATTTGTAAATAGTTACAAAGAAAAAATAATATAAAGACAATAAAATTGCACATCATGTCACGGTCACTATCCTCAATTATTGGTTGATTAGCGCCAACAATAAGGACTACTCCCTCCGTCCCGTTTTATTAGTCTTGGTTTTTTTTTTTCACACAGATTAAGAAAGTGTAATTAATTTGGTTGGAAACATAAATTTAGATTAATAATTTCCTAAAATACCCTTATGCTAATGACGAAGAGTGCCAATTAATATCAGTTACAGCTAATGGTGCCAATAAATATCAGTTACCGCCAATAGTGCACCCTGATTGTATCAATTACCGCCAATAGTGCCAATAAATATCAGTTGCCGCTAATACTCCATTTCATAATCCATTTCAGGCGCCTAATACTCCATCCGCCAATAGTGGATTCAAGTTCTTCCCACCAAAATTATCTTCAATTTTTACACTGAACTCTATAAATATGGCAACTAATTAAGCTTAAGCAAAGGCAATTAAAAATGGATAATTCATCCATAATTAGTGCCATCGTTTTGAATATTTTGCCAGAAAACGTCTCCTCAACTTTGCAAAAAAATACTTTCATTGATTTAAATCATCTTCTTTTGGTAGAGTATTTAAATCCAATAATGGTCTCACCGATTTGAACTTGGGCTGAAAATATTCTTGCACTAGAGAAAAAGTAGATTCATGCTCTTCAGTTGTAGGAGCAAAACTATCTTCTTGTGATAGAACATTTACGTCAATTGATGGCTTCACCGATTTCAACTTGGGCAAAAAAATCCTCTGCATTTCAAAGACAACTTGTGCACATTCTTGACTCGTTGAGATGAGATCATATTCTTTTATTGGTGTTTCATCAGAAAAATTGTGAGAATATGGATGGTTTTTTAAATTTTCATTCATGATTTTGTATTTCCCTCCTAATATAAATAAATTTCAAAGAATAACAAAGATAGACTTTTCATTTATCTATGTATTGGAAAAGCTCAATGTATTCAATGTAGTGGGTTAGTATTTAATAACAATGTATTAATAACAAGATATTTAATAAGGGTATTTTAGACAATTTAAAAGATTACTAGATTTCTTAATGAGAAAGTGGACTACAATTTGGGACAGACGAAAAAGGAAAACAAGACTCACAAAACGGGACGGAGGGAGTATTAAGTAGTACACCACTTTTAATAGGAAACGAGGAAAAGTCGGCCCAGAAAACATAAAAGATGTCCTATCCTAGGAATAGGATGACCAAAGTCACCAAACCACTGTTACGATTACCCCCCAAAAGGGCCAAAACTATCGCTCGTCTTCCTCCTCAGTGGCAGTGTTACACTCCTTTGAACTCGATTCTTCCCTTTTCCCATTCCCCTTCACAACTCCCTCCTCGTTTGCTTTCTTCTCACCTCTTCAAGCCCTTTTCTTCCACAGCCTTCTCTCAATCCAAGTAAGTCCCTTTACTTTTTCTTCATAATACAAATATATGTATTTTTTCAATAGAATCTTTTGTTTTACTCCTGTATCGAGTAGTTATGCATTGGTTGACTTGTTTTCTGATTAGTGCTGGGGAGTTTTTGATTTCTAGTTTTTCCTTTGATAACTTCTGACTTTTCCCTTGAACCCGTGGCACTGAAGTTTAATACATTACCATTATTTTCTGCTGAACATTTTGGAGTAACTAGTTTAACTTTCGTGGTTATCCTTTTGATTAACTTTTCATGAATGGCTCTAAAGAAGAAGAAGTGATGCAAGATTGGGTTTTTGTTGAAAACTGTAATGGAGAATCCTGTCTCTTTTAATGGCCTTAAATAGAAAGAGAAAAGTTTTTTTGGTTTATTAACTTTCTATGAGAGTTCCATATGCGTGTTAGTTCTTTATTGGGTGTTATTAGATAGTCCGTATAGTCTCCTATGCTGTCGTGCACAGTTTTAATGTTGGATTTCTTTTTGATAGAGTTTTGGATAAGTA